CCAGGCCTCCCACCCGATGAATGTATGGTGTGAGTCTGCAGATAGTCCGAGTCAGATGTGAGTCAGATCCATGTTTATCAGTCTTCCGCTGCATTTTATTGCTCTTTGTTATTGGTCGGTTCTGGATTCTGCATCATACTTGTGCTCGCTTCACTTGTATGCAGCAGTTTGGTATCGGAGCAGACCAAGATTGGATCTGCTCACAGATTGACCAATCGGTTGATCGATCGATTGATTGGTCCTTTGGGAATTCCGCTTGATTGATTGATTGATTGATTGATTGATTGATTCATTGATTGATCGAGTGATTGATTGATTGATTGATTGATTGATTGATTGATTGATTGGTTGAGTGATTGATCGATTGATTGATTGAGTCATAGATGTAGTTCTGATTAGCGAGAATGCAAGATAATTGATAAATCAGTTCATATAAAGTTGAGTGATTGGTTGATTAGAATTGTTTCCATTATCAGATCTGCAGTTGTCATCAATTTCCAAGTTGCAATTTTTTTTCTTTTCTTCTCGTTCTGTAATTCGGTAATGCGCTAAAGATAGAATTGCTGCAATCTGGAAATTCGCGTTATTTTAGGGTTGAAACCAGGAATTTTGCAAAATTCGTGGAATTTTAGGTCTGAAAATCCCGAAAATTTTGCAATTTTTTTCTTTTTCTTTTCAGTTTGCATTTTCCTTTAATTCGCTTACCTCCGTGAATTCCGTACGGGACTTTTCGTAAAATCCCCGGATGCTGGAAGGTTCGGACAGTTGCAAAAGTGCAACTTCCCGGAAGTTTCACCTGCAATCGAAGTCCACAGTTGGCATTTTGATGAATTGTCGCAGGCAGTGAACTTTCGGACCACTGTTTAATCTCGGATTGACACCTAATTCCCGACATATTCATTTATTGCATTATTTTTATTAATTAAATTAATAAATTTTAAAATTTCAAAAAATATTGTCCGGGGGGAGAAAATTTCCCCATCGATTAGAGTGTCAGTCCACATTGAGGATTGGGGAGCTGCATGCTTGTCTGCTCCCTATCCCCTGTTCCCACCCCTTGTTCTCCTCTCCCGCTGGTGGCCTAAAGGACACTGCCCAACTTCAGTCACTGCAGTTCACTGCAGCAACTGTTGTCAGCAGGTCAGCGACCTGTGGTACTTCCTCGACGCAGTCCTCGGATAGCAGTTCTTCTCAGCAGACAGCAGCAGACAGCAGCAGGCGGCAGCAGGGTACCAAGGAAGCGGCGAACGATGGTCCTGCCAGTGTTTCCTGTCCAAGGCGCCGATGAGGCATCCAACGTGTTCTTGCAGCGCGTTCACACCTTCATGGACCTGACCGCTGCAGAACAGGAGCGGATTGCCGCTGCAGCAGCTGAACAGCAGAGACTGGCCCAAGAGGCAGCAGCTGAGCAACAGAGGCTGGCCGCCGAGGCACAACGGTTGGACAACGAGGCAGCCGTCCAGCCGCAGCTACAGCGAGAACCCGCCAAAGCAGCACAACATCAACAGCGTGCCGCAAGCACACAGGTCCTGCAGAATGAGGAGCAGCGTTTCAGCGAAATCCTCACAACGTGGACCTTTGTACCATCAGCCACGCGATCAGGGCCAACAGCAGCGGAACAGGAGAAAGCAGAATTGGGTTACCTACTCAGGCACTTGCTATACACTGTGAACTGACAGCAGGAACAGTTGCGGCGGCAAACTCGTACAGCATACCAACAGCAGCAGCTCCTAAAAGCGTCCTCGAATGACTTCAAGGCAACTCGCGACAGCGATCGGTTCTGCCAAGACACAGCAACAGCTAGTCAACGATTCACTTACTTTGTGCCCGAGTACGGTCGAAGCACAAGCCCGTGCACCAGCAGCACCACCAATCGGTTCATCAGCAGCTGGCCAGCAATGGGGCCCATGTGTAGCAGCAATCAAACGTACAGCTGCCACCACCACTCAACGCATCATCAGCCTGATTGGCGAGGTGGGCCAGTTCGAGGCCCCAACGACGCTCAGCAACCAGGTGACGGCACTTAAAGCTGAACTTGTTCAGCTGAAGTCCAGACTGGATAGCGGCTGGGCATTCAAGATGCCCAAGTTCAACGTGGCCAAATTTGACAACTATCACAATACCGACACATTGGCATGGTGCACCGCATTCAATACGGAGGCGGACGTGCATCACGTTCCCGACGATCGGCGCCTCAACGCGTTGTACCTCCAGCTGATTGGCGGCAGCCAGGCCTTCATGAACAATTTGGCGTTGCAAAGATGTACGATCGCAACAATGCACACCAAAATTACATGGGACGAGTTTGTGCAGCTGTGGCAGACGCGGCTCATGGTCCGAAACGTGAAGAAGACGGTCATGAACGAGCTCTACCATTGCAGCCACGACACTATGCCTACCGGAGAATGGTTGACGAAGTGGCAAAAGTTTGTTGCCACTCCGAAATTCAACCTCGATCTTCACGATTTGAGATCTGAGTTCTTCTCTCGGGCATGCGACGGGTTGACTACGGCTCTCAGCAACGAGTTGCAGTACAAGACCTTCGACGCAGTCATATCAAGAGCTAACATTCTCATACAAACGGACCGGCGGGCGGCCAATGAAAGTCACCAGCAGCAGCCGGCCTATGTGGCAAAGCCAGGATTTCAGCGGCACAATGCCAATGTGATCCTAACCGGATCACAAGAAGACCACACTGCCGCAACAACCTCTGGTGAAGGAGACGTTGTAGCAGCGATCCCTCCCCGACGCACACGAGCTCGGAAGAAGAAGGCGACTACCCAGGCGTCGGAAGGAGCTGGACAGCAGCCGTGGACGCAGTATCACCTTAGCGAGTAGGTCTACCATCTCCGCCTTAAGTACAACTACCGCCCAATGCACGCACAAAGGCAAAGCTAGTGTGTCTCGTCCAACCAGCTCTTGAAGCTGAGCACCGCAAGGAGTGCAGCGATGACTCTCCCCACTCTGCCGGAAATGGTTGCCTTGCTAGCAACTGACTTCATCTCTTGGGAACATGCAGTAGTCGATGATTCTCGTTTGACTTGCAAGGATTATGCAGTCCAGCTGGTCCCACCGTTGAACCAGCCTAGTCACGTGCATGAAGTCAGCATATGCGCAGCTTGCGCACCGCCAACAAGTGAACCGGTGTTTTCGCCTACACACTCCGAGGACTCGTCGGTGTGGTCGCGACTTGAGGATCTCGACCCGCTAATGATAGAGGACTTCCAATGGTTGCCTCTTCTCTCGACCGGATCCTTGCCCAAGCCGCATTGCAATGCCTTGATGGCCAATCTACGCGCTTACTTGCACGCTGCAGTACCAACTCCGTTTACGAACGACGGAGTAGCGGTTGTCGATATTCGCGCCTATCTTGCTAAGATCGACTGCGAGCTCGCCCCCCAAAGGTACGTTGAAACCGACGCACCACTCCTCTATATCCTCATTCAAACTGGAAAGGCAACCTGCAGTGCCTTGATTGATTGCAGAGCGTCTCACAACTATATGAGCCAAGCTTTTATGGCCCGCGCTGGCCTCGGCCCTCGTGTTCGAAGGAAAACGCAGCCAACGCATGTAACACTCGCAGACAGGCATACGCAAAAGTCGATTGACTGATGCGTTGACGGCGTCCCGGTTTACTTTGCGCCACTTGTGAGCGAGCCGGTGTCTTTCGACATCCTCGACACCAAGTTCGACATGATTTTAGGCATGTCTTGATTGAGTAGCGTCGACCACCCGGTGAACTTCCATAACCGCACCGTTCACATTCGTGATCGGAATTGTGAGCTAGTCCCATGTACGGGTCCGCCCCCTCACACTTCGATTGGTTGCCACGTGGTCTGCGCAGCAAGGATTTGCGATGCCATTACTCGGAACGATGTCGATGAGATGGGAATATCCTTTTTGCATGCACTCCCTCCGACGAACGAACCGAAGACATCGTCGCCGGACCCACGTATTATTCAGCTCTTAGGCGGTTATGGAGACATCTTCGCAGCTCCCACCGGAACGGTCCCGGATCGGCCCAAACGTCATGGGATTACTCTCGAGGACGGTGTCGTCCCTCCACGCGGATGCATCTACCGGATGAGCGAAGAGGAACTCAAGGTGCTTCACACACAACTCGATGACCTCTTAGACAAGGGCTGGATTTGCCTGAGTTGTTCACCCTACGGTGCCCCGGTTCTCTTCGTCCGGAAGAAGAACAAGGACCTCCGGTTGTGCATAGACTATCGAAAACTAAACACGCAAACCGTGAAGAACGCCTGCCCTTTCCCTCGGATTGATGATCTCCTTGAGAGATTGGGTGGCGCCACGTACTTCTCAAAGTTGGACTTGAAGTCTGGCTACCCCCAGATTGAAATCCAGCCCCAAGATCGGTACAAGACCGTCTTCAAAACGCGATATGGGCATTTTGAGTGGGTCGTGATGCCATTTGGCCTCACCAATTCCCTGACGACCTTCCAAGCAGCTATGACGACCGAGTTTTGAGATCTGCTCTTCCGCATCGTACTCATTTACCTCGATGACATCTTGGTTTATATTTGGACGTTTGACGAGCATCTCGAACACCTTCGCGCTGTTTTAGAGAGGCTTCGCACGACCAAGTACAAAGTAAATCACGACAAGTGTGAATTCGCACAACAGGTGCTTGAGTAGTTGGGCCATTATGTTACATCGCAAGGCATCCGTCCCTTAGCGGACAAGATCCAAGCCATCGTAGATTGGCCGGAACCCCATACCACTACAGACATACACTCATTCATGGGTCTGGCTGGATATTACCAACGTTTTGTCCACTCTTACTCCAAAGTTGCTTCACCGTTGTCGAGGCTTCAGTTTCCGAAGGTGCCCTTCAAGTTCGACGACGCAGCCCGGACTGCATTCTAGGCGTTGAAGGACGCGATGCTACGCACTCCCGCCCTCCGCATTTATGATCCTACCTTACGTACCCGAGTGACTACGGATGCTTCCGGATACGGCATTGGTGCGATATTGGAACAGCATGACGACGATGATTGGCACCCGGTCGAGTACTTCTTCCAATGTGTCTCGTCCATTCTTTGGATGACGCTAGGAAGAAAGAGTTGCTGGTTTTCGTCATCGTTCTCAAACGATGGAGACACTTTATTCTCTGACGTAGGCGTTTGTGGAATGCGGACAATAATTCGTTGACCTACTATAAAACGCCGGACACGGTCACGAGCACGATCGGCCGATGGATGTATTTCATTGACCAATCGACTTTGGCCCCGTCCATATTCCAGGCCCCGCCGATCGAGCAGCGGATGCACTATCACGACGACACGATTTGTGTGCCTTGATGCCTTCTACGTTTCAACTCTACGACGATTTGAAGCAGTACTTCGTCAATGGTTACAAGTCCGACCCGAAGTACTCAACACTTTATGCGGATCTTTCATCAGATCACTTGCCGGCAGGTCACTATCGCATCACCGATGGGTACTTCCTTCTCCACACGCGAGGGAAGGACTTGTTATGCGTGCCACACAAGCATATCTTGTGTACTTGCCTTCTTGGCGAATTCCACGACTCGCGACTCTTGGCACACCTTGGCATCACCCGTACCTTGGCACGTCTTCGCCAACGTTTTCGCTGGGAAGATGTTCTTCACGACATCAATAAATATGTGCAGTCTTGTGCAGTTTGCCAGCGCAACAAAGGACGACATCAGCTTCCTTACGGCGAACTCGAACCATTGTTGATTCCTCAAGAACCGTGCCTCTCCATTGCTATGGATGTTACAAGCCCGTTTCCCCGCAAACGCCTTGGTCATGACGGCATCTTCACGGTTGTTGATCGTTTGCGCAAGTATGCCCGATTTCTTCCCTACAAGTATCATGCTGCAGCACCCGAGCTCGCACGACTCTTGCACACTGATTGGATTTGCAGCCATGGTGTTCCGGAAAACATCGTGAGTGACCGCGATACTCGTTTCATGTCGACATTTTGGGCATCCCTCATGGTCCAGTTAGGTACGGGCACCCACAAACGGATGGACAGACGGAGCGGGTGCATTAAACCGCCCAGATGATGCTCCGTACTCTCGTCCGCCCGGACCAGAAAGATTGGGTTGACCGCCTTCCGAATATCGAGTTCGCCTACAACACTTCGGTGCACCCGGCGATCTGTGTGACTCCATATGAGTTGCATCATGGTGGACGGAAAGGTCGTATCTTCGCTGATCTTCTTCTCCCTTGGGCTGCCGACACAGACGTCGCTTGCTCTCCCGCTTCCATTCGGAAGTACAGGGACTTGCTGATCAAAGTCCGAGCAAATATGCAAAAGGCCCAGGTCCTCATGCAGCAGCAAGCTAAACAACGTCGTCTCCCATCTCTTTTCCGCGAGGGTGACCGTGTCTAGGTCCTCACTGAGGAATTTGCGCTTGAGCAGGATGTCTCTCACAAACTCCTCCCCAAATGGTTCGGACCATGGAAGGTAATCTCTGCAGTCGGCGACGATCCTGCGAGCCCTTCCTTTGTGGTTAACATTCCACCACACATCACTGTGCACCCGGTCTTTCGTGTGTGGAAGTTGGCCGTTTACACACCACCTTCGACTGACGAGTTTCCAGGCAGACGATCACAGGATCCGCCCTCCATGGACAGACATCAGGAAGTTGACCGTGTCATCACACACTGCAAATATGGCAACAAGTCAATGCAGTACCAAGTCACATTCAAGCAATGTGATGTCGACGGCACTCGCTGGATCTCCCGAGCAGATTTACAGGCATCTGCACCACTCATCTTCTCTGATTATGAAAGACGGTGGCTTGCAAAGGACAAAGTTCGCCCCTCCCGACCGACCCAGGTTTCGGACAGATAACTTCACCCTCGCAGGTAATTTAGTCTTTTAAGGGGGGAAGTGTGTTACATACTGGATTCCACACGGGCCCTGTTAGGCCCGACGGCTAGGTCTAGGGGGTTATCCTAGACCGTGGCCATGCTGGGTCAGTCCGGCCTGGGTTAAAGGCCGGACCTTTGGAAAGGCTGACGTTAGGCCTCCAGCAACCGGTTTTAGACCCGGATCTGCAAGTGCAGGCCCTGAGCAGGAAACCGGTCCAAACGTTTTTCATTTGGACCTGGCGGCCGAAGCTTGAGGCTGCAGTTTCCCTGGCGGGTCAGATCTGACCCGTCAGATCGATCTACGGTCCAGATCATGGCGCGGGTTCTCAGCAGCCAGGCCGAACAGGCCACCGCCGGTACTTGGTACCAGTCAGCCGTCTGTTCAGGAGACTTTGAGGCCATGGCATTGAGAAGAAGCGCTGCGCTATTTTGGGTCTAGCGCAGCTCCAGGCAGTAGCGTTAGGTGTAGTGCTAGCTGCAGAGGTGAGAGAAAGAGTAGAGGGACTTACCTGCACCTACGGGCGAGCACCATAGCTCCAGCAGCAAGGACAGGTCTTCAGCGGCTCCAAGACAGAGCCTTGCGCCAGCAGGTTGGTGACTGGGCTCTGCCCTTCTTCTTCTTCTTCTTCTTCTTCTTCTTCTTCTTCTTCTTCTTCTTCTTCTTCTTCATCATCATCATCATCTTCTTCTAACCTTCTACATTCTGGACTACTATCTGGATAGAGATCAGAGGTGGACTATCGGGGACATCGGGACTGAGACTATTTTGGATTGAGACATTGAGGGGACTATTTCGGGAATCTGAAATCAGCGGCATTACGAGATTTGGTATCTTCAACATTTCGGGATTTCTATTTCGGTGACAGTGGTGTTGGCCCCATCGCTCCTCCTCTCTTCGTCTCTTCTCCCTACATTTCGTCTGTGTATGATTGTGCAGGCCCTGGTGCTGTCTTCCATGCTTGAAGCGCCAGGCCTCCCACCCGATGAATGTATGGTGTGAGTCTGCAGATAGTCCGAGTCAGATGTGAGTCGGATCCATGTTTATCAGTCTTCCGCTGCATTGTATTGCTCTTT